TACTACTACTACTACCACCACCGCTCTCGGCCCTTAGCCTGCAGAGGTGTCACTGCCGACTACTTGAACTTCACGGAGCGGTTCAAGATGAAGAAGGACTGCAGCATGCCATGAACTTGAGCAAGTCTTCTGAAGTTGCCACATTCTTACTGGCCCGCATATTTGGGCGCCCTGCCTTCCGGTGCTGCCTTATCTGTTCAGGTTCTGTACCCGGGCTGTTGTTTGACTGGACTTTCATGATCCCAAACCCTCCAAGAGATGGAGAACAGCGCTGATGTTGAAACCTTTGCTTGCGCAGTGCCTGCTGATGATCGGAGACGTTGGGAATGTGGAAGCTCACTGGTCTCAACTGATCCAGCCGGCCGTGTGCGCCACCAGGGCCAGGACGCGTGGAGACAGCACTTTGTAAGTTTTTCGCAAGCAGTCCTTGCGTTGCCATATGCCATGCATCGCCGGTTTCTGATACAGTCGAAGACAACAAGTACCAAGCCAAACAGTTCCAAGGAGTCCAGTTGAGACGAGACTGGACAGGGCATGTGCAAGAGTGCTTGGCCCCGTTTGCAATTTCTGTTGGATGAGCATTCTCGGCCGGCTGAAAAGCTCGAGAATCAACGATTTCTTTGCGTTTTCAGTATGATCAGATATCTCCCGAGACGGTGCAAGGCAAAATTGCATGCTCGATCAATCCTGCAGGTACTTTTACCAGCACGAGTACAACGTCATCATCATTGATGCACGGAGCCTGCACTGTTCGGCGGTTGCGCAACGCAGGGAAGTGAAGTCTAGAGTCTAGGTCTGAAGTGGTGACATTAAGCATGCCGTTTTACTACAGGGATAACTGGGATAACTGCATTGTTGAGCAGCACCCTCAACCAGATGCACTGAAACACCGAGACACCATCTCTGGGCAGCAGTCAGCATCGCTGGATACAGTATGGCCTCGCCCTTGGATACCCGAAGTGTTGATAAGCCACTGGAAAAGGGACTCATATGGACATGTTGAATGTGTGGGCCAACACGGAGTGTCAGTATGTGAATTCGGGCTGAGGGAAACTGCGCCTATCTTGTAGAGCATGTCAGGCGACTCTCCACCAGTCAGATGGGATGTTGAGTTTACAACCTGAAGCCGAAAAGCTGCACCAGCCCAGGTCCTGCGATCATTCGCGGAACACTGCAGTCGAGCCCAGCCCGTTTGTGGCACTTGCCGAGAACACCTCTCATTCAGCCATGCATAACGGCGTGGCGTGGTCTCTTGGAAGCTTCCTGTGGTTGAACATCCAAGCCTCGGCCAGGTATTTGGAGGTTGCGCAGGTCAGCGTGTTTTCGATGGGCCTGGGGTGCTGCTTGTTCCTGCAGGCCAGCCACATGTCTTGCCCGAGTCAGCTAGAGCTGCAGTCTTGTCCGAGTGTGACACTCCGTTCTGTGCCAGATTCTGGGAGAGACGCCTCATGTCCTCAGCACGACACATGTGATGTACAACCAGGCCGGGCCGTTCCCTAAACTTATATGCTGTCCGCCGGCAGAACGTGCAGTGCTGCCCAGCGCCCAGGACATGCCTGCGGACAGGGCAACCTTTCCCTTCGAGGTATTCGATGTGGAGGCGCGTGCAGCTCACAGTCCATCCTGTAATGCTAAACGGTATCGGGCCTTTGACGGCAGATCGCAGCCAAAGCAGGCAGGCCAAGTTTGCCAAGTCATCCCTTGCCGAGCGGCACTGCGATGTGTTACTATAGGGAGCCCATCATAGCTTCCAACATGACCTTTCGATCTGCGGAAGTCGGACGGTGCAAACCCACGAGAGGTGGCTTTGCGCGACAATGATGTGCAGATCTGGGTGATGCCCGAATCTTGGATGAAGTTCACGGCCAACAGCAGATGCACTCGTCACGAGGAATTTCTTCTGCTGTTTGCATAGACACGCAATCACGGCCATGAGACCTTCCGTGCAAAGACGCTGCGGTCTGAGCTCCAACGAAGCCAGATACAACGACGACGAGGACGAGGACACGGATCCCAGAGCCTACAGCAAACACAACAAGGACGGAGTGATGTTGCGACATCTTTGAAGCAATCTCGCTGGATTGATCCGTATATGTCGATGTTGCACAAAAGAGCTAAGTTGGGTTTAGGAGTTTAGGTCCTTTGTTGCAGATTTGAATTGTAGCCAGTGCCAAGCAAGAAATCAGGTATCGTGAGGCTTTGGGACCACCTGCGAAAGCTTCTGCACAGATCGCTTGAACAAGAGGTCTGTGTGAGTTTTTTGGCATCGCTGATAGAGTTTCTACGAATTCTACATTGCTTTGCATCAACCAGTCAGGGTTGATGAACACTTGCAGCAGTTGGCCGTGTCACAGGGCGCTTCCAGGCTGGGGGACATGATTGTCAAGATGCAGGTGCCGCGGAGACATTTTTGAAATATGAGCCGACAAGATGTTTCGTCCTGGTCGCAACCTAACGTGGCTTTTGGGCTTGGAGGCATGCAAGATCGGCTCAAGAAGCTAAAAGTGTTAGCGGATGATGCTCTTCTTGTTGCTCAAGCTCGCGAGCACACCCTGAGCATGCAATGGACCAGGAGAAAAGAGTTACATCTCGTGGCGAAAATAGCTCGAGTGAATACAAGGAGCAGATGCTGTAACTTGAGTACAAGTGGAAGGTCAATAGAAGATAGCACAAGTCAGAACAAAAACTAATGAAAGAGCAACTGCACTAGCGACGGTGTCAACAGTCGCAAAAGGCTACAATTGTCGTCATCAGAAGCAGTCACAACTATCGCCGTAGTATGGAGAACGATACGCCAATGCCAGTGAGAAGTGCAAGATAGCCACGAGAGCAACAGCAACGCAGTCTTAGAGGCGATCAGCCAGGGCTACGGTTGAAAGAGGCGTTATCGCATGTTGTCGCCATGGCAGACCTCGGCTGTTTCTTGGCCGGCTTGCCTTTGTCCTGCTGCATTCTGTGCCCTGGCCGGCCCTGGCTAACTTGAGGCTTTCGAGGTTCTCGCGTTCCCAGCTTAGGAATGCCAGTGGTCCCCGCACGAATACAGAGAAGCAGCTCATTGAGATTGCACGATCTTCGTTCCTCGCTCAGTTCGATGTCGCAGAAGGAGAACCGGACTTCTCGGCGATTCAGCCATGGAAGCATCTCAGGTCGGGGGCTGTGTGCTCCAAGAGTGCTACGCTCAAGCCCAGAGAGGGCAATGCACATCCCCGCTACGTAGAACTGCCGTTGGGGGAAAGCAGCAGCAGTGCCGCTCGATGGAGTTTTGCTATTATGCTTTTTGTGTTCGAAGGCTCAACAACTACAACAAAGACGAGACACTGTCTCCCAACATGCATACATATTATGCCTTTATGTATGGATGGACGGCTGGCAGGATAGAAGTGTTACTGTGTGTGAATACATACATACTATATGTATGTTAGTGTGTGTATATATATCTATGTTATGTACCACGTGAGCTGCTGGTATGCGTGTACTTTGTATGTATGCAGAGTTGTACGACAGCTGAATGAGATGGAACTATGTACGTGCATATGTCACATTATATATATATATATGTATATATCTGTAAACACAGGTGTATATTGAATCCATCCTGGATGCTATGATGGGTGCAGATATGTATGTGTATATGCATATACATATATGTATGTAAAGTTAGATACATACACATACATATATGCCTTTGTGTATATACATGCAAACACACATACATACACACCTACATACATACTTTCGTACATACATACATACATACATACATACATACATACATATATACATACATACATACATACATACATACATACATACATACATACATAATCCCTTCCCCCTAATATTAAAAGGGGCCCCCCCCCCTCCCCCAATAGATATTCAAAATATATTTTTATAATTAGGGGGTATTCTTATCGCTACTGCTGTTTCTGGGCGCTGGATGTGCTGTGACGATGGTGATGATGATTAAATTAAATTAATTTTGTTTTAAAGACCCCCCAACCTGAAACGCTGCGCTGAGCTCTTAAGTCTTGTGACTGTTTGACCTTGCGGAGCTCTGTAACGTAGCACAAACTGTGCGCAGCGACATGTGAACGACGCACGACGGGCAGCCGTGGGCCCAAATGCGTCTGATGGTTTTCTGCTCCATCGTCCTTTGCAGAATGGCGGCCTGCAGCTGCAAAGAGGTTCTGATTGCTGTGCAGGCAGTGGAGCAGATGACTGGTCATTCTGAGCGTCTTGGCTTTCATGGTCTGTACGACGTTGGCTTTGAACAAGTTCGTCATACGATTCTCGAAGTTTGGACACAGACATGTGCCCGTGACCGCGATCGATTGGCCCCTTTCCTAGACTTGTTGACGACGTTGAAGTGTGATTCCGATGTGCCCATTCAGACAGCTACTCCCGGCGGTGGCCATCAGGTTTTCAAGGATGTCGTAAGCAACTTGCCGGGCGCAAATCGCCTGGGGTGGGGCACAAGCAAGCCTTCAGTTCATTTTGCAAGCGGTGGATCACAAGGAGCAGGACGGGCTGCGATGCATAGGCACCTCAGCGGTGAGTGAATTAGTGTCCTGCTTCGTACCTTAGCATGTTCGTGAGTTTCCGGCATGATTGTAGGGCTCGAGATGGCGGAGGAATTATGGGATACCCTGCGAGTCAGGGGGTTGACAGACTTCGCGCCGACTTTCGTGCGCCGTAGGGTCCTTGATGTGCGCGAGATCCATCTTCGAGCCGACGTGCTCCTAGAGGCCGGAGTCCCTGCGTGGGCATTAGAGTTGGCGGCAAGGGGTTCGGCAGCGGAGTCAGCCAGGGATTCTGTGGCCAACAAGCGGTGAGCGGATTTCCCCACAGACCCTGCTGTGAAGAAGGCGAGCATGCAAGCTGCATTGGCGGCGGCCCGCCCTGAGAATCGCAAATGGGGGGGAGCACCATGTCTTCTAATGCATCGCGAGTAAGACTTTATCAGGAGATCTGTGCGGCCTGGGAACTTGAGGCCTTCGGCGCTTGCCTTAAAGCTGGCTCGTACAACAGTGTGGCTGCGTACTTTTGTGCCATCGTGGGGCATCAGATTCGGCATCTCGGGATTGCCCCCGGGGAGCGGATCCATCAAAACTGGAGGATCACTATCACGTCCCGGTCCTGGCTCGGGTGTTACAGACCGAGCCGGGAGATGCAGGGTTTGTTTGATGTGACGAACCCGGCCCACATGGCGGAGGCACACAGGTTCTGACACTCTTGGACGAGTCAATCGTTCTCAGCATAGTGGATGGAGTCATTGTCAACTTTCACCCGACGAGGCAGTTGGCGGAGCACATGACGGGCCCCACGGTGACGTTCAGTCTGACAGTTGGACTCAGGGAGCCAGAGGCCTTCCGGTTCTGGTCCATCATAGAGGCCCTGTCGGGGAACGCGGCTCTCCAGCTGGTGATCACCACCCTTCGCAGGGAGCGCCGCCAGAGATCGGCCCTAGCGCAGACCATAGCCCAGGAGCTGAGGGGACGGAAACTTTACGGCATATCAGAAACCTAGCACTTGCAAATCGTGATAACGAATGCTATATGAACTCGGTTCTCCTAGCATGCATGTGGGTATCAGAGCTCCACTCGCCTTCCCAGGTCTGGTTGAGAGAATCCCTGAGCAGGGATCTGAGTGCCCTCTCCAGACCAACCCTGGTCCAGTCCACGTATGGTCTCGCAAGCCATGGCACAGGTACATGAGCCGATGGCCTCACTGCGGACGGCAGCATGATGCCGTTGATTTCTTAGGACACTTCATGCAAGAATGTCTACTTAAGTGGTTTAGGGGTACATCAGCAGTACTCACTGACGGTGCGCTGCGAGACAGTGGAGGTGTGTGCCCGCTGTTTCTCAACAGTGTACTAGCGGACCTGCCGTCCCGCAGAGGTGTTTGCTCATTGCAGAGCGCAATAGGTTCTTGGCACCTTTCCCCTGGTAGTCCCACCCTTACAGCAGACGTAGCTTGCGTGGCGCTTCAACTGAACCGCTTCAAGACAGAAGGGCGCACTGTGAGCAAGGACTTTACGGCAGTTTCTCTGCCTCGGAGTGTCAGCCTCCCCTGCTGGGTTGAAGGTGTTGCGAGTGAGCGTAGCTACAAGGTAGGAGCTGCAGTAGTTCACCTTGGCCAGACACCTAGCAGCGGACACTACCGAACACTTTTGTTAGAGCCAGGAGGTCGGATGTGGTGGACAGAAGATGCTTCTAAGGCCCACTCTGTAACTTGTAGTGATGTTTCTGTTATTCTTCGCAACGTTTATGTTCTTCTACTGTATCCGATCAACAGGCTGTAGTGTTGGTGCCAGGCTTTCTCAGACAAGTAGTTCAGCCTGGTGCTCAAAGGCTCTTCGGAGCGGCTAGGCTAGGATGGGTGGGAGGCAAAACGCCTTGCAGCACTGCTGCCGCGCAAAGCGTGCCCCGTTCGCTAAGCAGACTTCGGACACTGCTGCGAGTGTGAGTGAGTACTACCTACTACTACTTCTACTACTACTACTACTACTACTACTACTGATGCTTCGTCCGTAGGCGTGGGGACCCGCGTGATTGACGGCCCCAGGCCGCACATTTACATGTGTCACCCGATGTCTGCCTGTTCTTGTCGGACGGGCAGGTCATTCGTTAGTTGCCGCGCGCTGTGGGGGGCTGCGCCACGGGCGCTGTTCGCGTTGCAACTTCATTGCGATCAAAATATTCTCCATGCCCGTCTCCTGCATGCCATCTGCTGTGCACACAAATGCACTTTGTGCAGGCACATCATTTCACCTTCCGCATCCTTGCCACGCAATTTTCCATTTCCGCATCCCTTGTGTGCTCACGCCGGCTGACCGGCCACAGGCCTTAGTTTGAAACTACAAGGGGAAACTACAGAAACACACCGGTCGGTGCGCCTCGACGGACGCGGCTCTTTTGCCTGGACCACATGCCTTCAGTTCGCCAGCCTGTCAAGAAAGCGAGAGGCGGGTTCCAGGTGAATGCCCTTCTCTTGCAAGTGCGAAGCACACAAAGTACGATGACTGCTACCAGAATAACTGTTGTCAAGACGAAAATTAACGCAGGGCTTCACACTTAGACATTAGGCTGTAGTCATACTACCACAGAAACCTCCCGGAATCCCTGATGACATCTGGGACCTCGAACGTCCTTCCATCCCAGGCCCTCCCACCCTGCCTTCAGGCACTCTCCTGAACCACCTTCGACGGCCCCCGAGGAGCTGAGCATAGATGCTCTACGCGACCCCTCTTATGGGTGAGGTGGTTTCAGCCATATCTGACACCGAGGAATCAATCCCCTGACTTGAATTAGGTACCCGCGTCTGTCGCCGTGGAGTCGCATGACGCCGACTGGAATGTTCTTCATCCACGTTGAGGCTGGTCTTGGACTGCTCAGGTGCATCTGTACAATCAGTACCGGGCCCTGGTGCGGCCGCTGCAGAGCTCACAGCCTTCAACATCATTCAGGCGGGATACGCTACCTTCGCCGACATCGATGAACTGCTGGACTTGCTACCGGACAGAGCTCATGCCAAGCGCAGAAGAAGCCGGGTCGAGTTCAATCCAAAGCGAAAGAGTTTGTCTGCCGGAGCCCGTAGCCTTCACTTTGCGCATAGCAGGGATCCAGAACACAACGAACGTCTATCCACTGGTATCATTTCTGCTGGCTTCGCTGACCAAAGGGGCCTGCCCCGTACTTTGTTTCACTTCTGTGACGCTTTAGCGCAACGTTCTTGTGCAAATGCATGCTGACAGTCACAACGAAGCTGGTTGTGTCAACATCATCGTGCCCTGCAGCCGATGGCAGGGAGGCGGTCTCTGGGTTCAGTGCCCCGACGGTGCCCACGCGCTTGACGCAAGCTCTGGCCCTGGTATTATATGGTGCGGTTTACATGGCCCTGCGTTACCTTCGACGCTCACCGTCGACATGAAACCACGCCGTGGTCTTCAGGTGATCGAGTGGTATTAATCGGCTACGCTGCGCGCTCTCTTTCTTGACTGCTACCGGAACACTGCCAACAGCTTGTCAACACAGGCTTTCGGCTTCCTGAGATTTGACCTCTGAGATTCTGTGCTTCGATTCCTGATGTAGCTCTGAGCCGTTCGTCTTTTGTGAACACGCGAAGTGGCTGAGTCTTGCGTGGTGCCACCAGTGCAGCCGGCGACGCTTCGCCGACCTAGAATCTTGTCGCATCGTCGGGACCTCCTTGACTGCGGTACAAACAAACTAGTTACCACTACAACC